GAGCCATGACGGGCAATGTGCGCGATAAACTCCGTTCAATTGACAGCCAGCACTGACATGTCGTCAGTGCCATGGGTGCCTCGGCCAAGACTGGTAGGAGACATTGCGGTTCTCGGGTGTTTTGGTACGTTCCGCCGAAATGGAGGCTCTCGTCAACGTTTGAGCTGCGCATAGATTCCCAAGGAAAGCTTTCCGGGCCATTCTACATTTACTGGAAATGGGACACTGTTCGGTCCGCCAATGAACCAATCCTCTCTGAAAGCTCAGAAATGGTTCGCTCGATTGAAATCAGCATGTTGATCTGTCGGGAAAGAGGCTGGTCGCATAAACATTCTTCTCGCAACTGGCGCCCGGCAATATCATTCAAATTTCTATTCCGATATGGCACCGTTGATGGCTGATAAATTCAAGTCAAGTGGACTGGCCTGTCGGCTCGCGTTTTCTATGTTGCTATTGTCTCGAGACTGGGATATGTGGAAGGATTGTAACTGCTGAGTAGGGATCGGATTCCTTTAACATGACTGAGTCGAGCCAATCTAAATCTTTCCAAAAAAGCGAGTTAAAAGCGAAGAGGCGGTCGCCCGTCGCGTCGGCTGTGATTATCAAGCTTCAATGGATAAAATTGGGCGGGATGCTGCCAGAGTCGAACAGATGATAGCGAACATATGAACTTTTGATGGGCTTCGGACAACTTTGAGGCATGGAGACCACGCTGAGGCGGCTTCTGCTGGCGTCTAGGGGACGGTCCATTCGACCGAAATGCAAAGCTCCGTGGAATTCTCATGATGTCGCGATCTAATGTTTTTTCATGTGAGAGGAGATATGGCTGCATCAAGACAACAGGACGGAAAGTGAAGGACGCTCGAGAACCCCTCCTTTCGGGAATACGGGCAGGCACCCGTCGAGTTTCACGACGTCGGATATCCCGTCTGGCGGTTAAAAAGGGCACACATCTCGGGACAGCACCTTCTCAATCATCTTTCCAGTCACGATCCAGAAGCATACTATTCCAGAAATACTCACGTTCGACGTTGGTGCCTTTGCATTTTCTTCCACATCTTGCCATAGACAGCGCAACAACGCAAAAAACAAAACTCCCGCAGCCATGACCCTGCGATTCGACCCAGAGTACCAAGCCGCCATCGCCGCCAGAGACAGCGGCGGCGGAGGTCCCGCCCCGCCGGCGGCACCGTTCAAGGACGCCCTTGAACTCCGCACCTTCTCTGAGCCCTTGCTCCGCACCGTCCTCCGCGCGCAGCCGACGCCGGACAACGTTCTCGAGACGCGTATCCCGTTCATCTCGCACGATGGACAGGAGGTCGGGCTCTACCGCTTCGCGACGCGGGAGATGATTGACAGCTCCGAGCCCCTGGCCGCCGTGGTATACGTCCACGGCGGCGGGATGGTCTCGTGCGATGTCGACATCTTCAGCCCGCAGATTAAGCGGTTCGTCGAGATGGTGGGAATGCCGTTCTTCGCGGTGGATTACAGGCTCGCGCCAGAGTTTCCTGACGGGCTGGGCGCCGAAGACGTGTATTACGGGTTAAAGTACCTCTCGGAGAACGCTGCGCGCTGGAACGTGGATAGCGGCAACGTCGTCATCATGGGCGACTCGGCGGGCGGCGGGCTCGCGGCGGGCGCGACGTTGATGGCGCGTGATAGGGGTCTGACGCCGCCGCTGAGGAAGCAGGTTCTCGTGTACCCGATGCTCGACGACCGGACCACGGTGCCGGAGAATGCGGCGATGTACCCCTTTCTGGCGTGGAAGGCGCACGACAGCGTGCTCGCGTGGCGGGCGGTGTTGGGGGATAAGGCTGGGGACCCGAGGCCTCACGCGGAGGCGGGTGTCTCGTTGTATGCTGCGCCGGGTAGGGCTTCGGTGGAGGAGTTGAGGGGACTGCCGAGGACGTATATTGATGTGGGCGGGTTGGATTTGTTCCGGGACGAGTGTGTTGACTTCGTGAGGAGGCTATGTGAGGCTGAGGTGGAGGTTGAGTTTCACTTGTGGCCTGGGTTGCCGCATGGGTTTGAGAGTGCGCCGGGGATTGGGTGGGTGAAGAGGGCTTTGGAGGCGAGGAATGAGGCTTTGAGGAGGGATTGATCGTGGTTTGATTTAGACGGTTGGGAGGGAGGTGGATCATGGGGTGGTGGAAGGGGGGAAGGAGGTGGTTGGCTTGAAATAGCTGGGACTTACACCCGTAGCGTATGTTCAGGGACGACCGGGACTTGGAGGCACTGGTCTTGACGCGAGATATATGTACGTGGGCTTGGCCGGTTGTGTATTCTTTGTAGGCGTAGACGTAGATCCAGCCTCCCGGCCTAGGTTCGCGACTCTTCAGCCTGCGAACACGATCAGTAATGTCACAATCAGTGTAATAGAAGAAAACGCCAGTGTCAGCTGCCTCGTGTATCGTATCTTATCGTATCGTATCGTATCAGGAAGACTAAAAGGTGCTAGACATTCTCAAATGCTCCCTTATGTTTTCTCCATTATTGGTTGTCTTCCTCTGATAGCCTCCGTGGTCTTTGGACATGATATGCACTGACTCCCTCTACATCTCTGTTGGTTCATTACAGCAGCGATCTCGATCAACATCTTGAAGCGCAAGGGAAAGAAGTTGGGAGCTGGTAGGTCTTGCTTCATTGAAGCCCAGGTAGTAGGATGGAGGACAAGAAGTGTCTTGGGATAAGTGCAATGCGCTCACCCACAAGATATGTAATTTCTTCCCTTCCGTACATCAATCGCAACAATTCCATGCAAAGGCATCTTAGTAGAGATTGAAAAGAGAAGACGAAAAAAGAGTTAACCTCGGTAGGCTACATCTCTTGGTGCTCATGCTGGGAATCGAACTCGAACTCGGAGCCTGTCGTCGAGTAGGCTGTTGGGCGTGACATAATCAACTGCTGACCCAAGACCACTCCACCACTCAGTCAGTTTGACCTGACCCGCCGACCTAGACGGGCGCCTGCTGTGCTGGTGACAGGAAAAGAGTTGAAAGTATATACATGGGCTTTCCTCCTGTGTGTATTGTGGGAGTTGGGATGAATACACGTCTCACGTGGCTGTTGTTCCCCGAAGGTGGTGATTGGCTTGATATGTATGCTCTGCTATCGGCACAATCTGACCTTGAAGGACCGTGACTTTCACTGCTCAAAAGGATGTTCTCATCATTCATGGCCTTGACCCGACAGAGCCTGCAGTCGATTAAGGCGTAGGCCTTCGGCAAACGGCCTGGAGAACGAGTTCATGGAGTTTGGGGTGAGGAAACGAACACGATTTCTATTGAAGCATGCTCATGCAACTGCAGAGCCTGCGCGCATCTTGCTACTTGGCTGCAACTCGGCCATACAGCACGAACTTGCAGTAAGGTGTCTTCAGTGAGCCACGTTGTCATCCCTGCCTACATCTGTAAGCCAGCCCTCTGAATTCCAGAGATGAGGTATGTATCTGCAATAAGAGGTGCAACTCGTGTAGAAGCAGTATCTACTATTATGACAACTGTTCGTATGTATCTGGGCTATATTTTTCAGAAATGATATCGGCACTATGAAAAAACGAGATAGAGTGAATGCACATCGTCTCTTGTCGAATACTCAAGGTAGACTTGACGAGCAAGTATTTTGAGACTCTCCAAAGATCCTTCCGCATTTGTTGTTATGACTTTTGTGGGTATTTCATCGAGAAGAGAGCGATGTATGGGTTCATTGGTGGTTTAACATGTTCCCAATGTCACCATGGATCTCGGGAGCTTTTACTCTTGGAAAGATTACCAACTGAACGTGTTCAGAGCACTTCGTGTAAATATACATGCCCTTGCCCATAGTTCGGCAGTTCAGATTCCTTTCAACTTTGTACTGAATCTAATCCGCCTCTTTACATAGGGCGAATACCTTCATGCACCAGCGCCGGGTTGATCGGCCTATTTGTACCAGGAGTCGGATGCGTGTGTGTAAGCAGACGGGACTTCTCAACCCCGCGACTCAACTTTCGCTACTCCGTAATGAACCAACTAACCAAATAATTAGTCAACAGCCCCCAACACTATGTCTATGCTTTATGCTTACATGGCCTTTGATTGATGCCAAGAGAGGAGTCTCAACAGAAGCAGCCATCAACTCGCCTTTAAATTATGGCGGTCTCAAGTCAGTTGACGTGATTTATTGAGAGTCTCGCACCAAACATCAGCCGAACAACTGCTGGTTCGTCCCAACTCGGAGCCAATTTCAGTCAAGGATCGGCAGTTCCCCGCAGTTCCCTTAGGCGGACCATTGACATTTCTCCAAGGCGGCCTTCCAAGAGGGAAGGTGCCTGGTCTGCCGGGGACCGATGCAACGGGCCAAGCCGCTAGGGTGCACGTGTGGTAGCCACTCGGAGACTCGGGCACAAGGGCCTAAGAGGAATAAACTCATGAACCCCGGCCTCGCTAGCAAAGAAGCATACTTTTGTGCTCAACTCCAAACGCTAGACGGAGGTTCTTTAATGTTCTTGACCGATGGAATCCTCCGAAAGGGGGCAGACAGATCCGGTGTTTGCAAGAGAGCGGCGAGGACCCCCTTGTCATTCGGTCCAATCCAACCGGGGATGATGCATAGTCTCAAGTAAAGTTGAGCTGACAAGCCCAAGACTTTTCAATGTCGTATTGGCACAACTACGCAGTAGATTGACTAACCCTTTAGTTCGTCTTGCAGGTATCCCGACTGGCGGAACAATAGCTTTTGCTTCTCTTGGGCGTCTTGGCAAGTATAAAAGATACGAACTTGGGAGTCTCGGCCGAGCGGAGTGGAACCTCGACGTCCACTGCCTCTGAAGCTCATTACCGGGCAAGGAGATGGTATTGTTGAGAGACAAGAGACTTTGGATCTAGGTTCCCATAAGTAGAGCGTGATTTGTCCTGGTTCATTATGAACATGGTCTTTGATACCTCAGCCTCTCTGCCTTTGCTCTGCCGTCTTGTTTTTGCTTCTTAGGATACCTCTTAGTACACCATACCATCGACATCATGAAGTTCACTTCTATTCTCGCCTCTTTGGCGCTGAGCGCCCTCACCTCCGCCGCACCCGCCGCCTCTCCCGAGCCTGCCGAGCTCGCGGCCCGCGCCCCTACCCTCTACCTCTGCGGTGACAGCACCATGGCCAGGAGCAGCGACTCTCAGATGGACGGCTGGGGCCAGTACGTCTCAAAGTACCTCAACATCGCCGTCGTCAACCGCGCCATCGGCGGCCGCTCATCTCGCTCCTTCTGGAACGAAGGCCGCTTCCAAAATGTCGCCAACGAGGTCAAGGCCGGCGACATTGTCGTCATCGAGTTCGGCCACAACGACGTCGGCTCCCCGCGCTCCAACGACAACGGCCGCTCCGTCTGCCCCGGCGAGGGCACCGAGACGTGCGTCTCGGACACGACGGGCGAGACCGTCTACACATACATCTTTTACGTCATCCAGGCCGCCAAGCTCATGACCGCCAAGGGCGCCACCGTCATCCTCAGCTCGCAGACCCCTAAGAACCAGTGGGCCACGGGCACCTGGGTTGGCACCCCGTCCCGCTTCGTCGCCATGCAGAAGAAGGCCGCCGCGACCATCAACGACGCGGCCGTCACCTTCGTCGACCACCACCAGGCCGTCAGCAACATGTACCTCAAGCTTGGATCGTCGGCCGTCAAGGCCCTGTACATCAAGGACAACACGCACACCAGCGCCGCGGGTGCCGACCTCAGCTCCCAGGCTTTCGTCCAGGCCATCTACCAAAAGATGAACGGCACGACCAGCCTTGCCGCCCACGTCAAGACGCCCATCAAGACCGTCTACTAGTTGGAATTTCGATTCTCATATGCGAGGATAAGGGAAGGTTCCGGTGGCGAAACCTAGGATGTGGGGAGGTTGATGTCGTCTTGTCGAGGAGCTTGGCCTCTAATGACTTGATTGCTCGAATTTCACTGTACATATTTCAAACAAAACTAGCCAAGGCTCTGTACATAGACGAAACGACACGTAAATAGTCAACAAGCCTTCATATCTTCCAAATCCTTTGTAAAATGCCATGTCCGCTCGGTACTTTCGGGTTGTTGAAAGGCCTCGAACTCTTGCTTTCTTGCCCACAGGCTGTAACTCTTGCGGCTGATTGCCTAGGTCAATTTCAAAGTGAGACCTTCAACGCAACTGTATTCTGTACCCTATATGTCTCTATTGTGATTGGATTATGAATGGAAGGAGCAAGCGGTCTTGACCGTGCCTTCCACACGTGACCACGAGACGGGATGGCTAAGGAATAAAGATCCCCTCAACTCCATTCCTGTCACCAGCACAGAAGGCGCCCTCTAGGTCGGGGGTCAGGTCAAACTGTGGCGTGGGTGGTGGAATGGTTCATGGTCAGCAATCAAGTACGCCCACAGCCTACTCGACGACAGGCTCAGCGCATACGAGAGTACCCGAGTTCGAATCCCAGCATGTGGATCAGAGATGTAGCCCCCAATTCAGCATCGGGGGGGCGAACTCTTTTGATTCTTCTCAAGACCTGATTATATATGTATTCAAGGCATGCCTATAAGTATTGCTCGAACGTGCAATATTCATTATAGTCAATGGCGATACCAAACTTCGACTACGTCTTGGCGACGCATGTAACAACCTCTATCTCTAGGTATATCTTATTATATTTCTGTCCACGACTTCTTGAGTAATCTCAGTGGCCTAGAGTCTGTTCCATCAACATCGAACCGTACGTTCATTTCCCGGAGGGATGCTTGACCGGTCCAGGCTTATGACTCCATGACCATCAGCTCTCTTTCTCGTCTTCTTCTCCGACTGCCTCCCAAGGCATCATGTACAGAAGCTCTATGACTGGTTCCTGGATGTTTTGTCCCGAAGATGCCCTCGAGGCCGAGGCAGGTATGAAGTGAGCTACGGATGTTCCGATCACCCGTAGACACTATCTATCTTGGCAAGGGTTGAGATCACCACGTCAAGGCCAAAAGCTGTTCCGCTCATTCAAAAGTTGCCCAATGTGATGAATTGAGACAACCTATAGTGGCTGTAATGATCGCGGTACCTAACTGGGACCGCTCGCAAATTTGATCCCATGATCAATCTTGGTACCCCCTGTGCTTCGCCTCGCGAAACGGGGCAAACCTGACGTACAAGAACACACGATACATGATCATCGTCGACAGCATCCATACCGCCGTGAAGACTAACCACCAGAAGATATCGTGTGCATCGAGCCAAATCACCTGGTTGCGAAAAGACCAGGAAAAATCGTAGTTCTCATAGTAGTCCCAGATATCCTCAGGGATAACGTCCCAGTGTGCAGCGTAGGAGAATGATCCCATGACGATGGCAACCGCCGTAATGAATCCCATCACGGCGCTGAGGCAGATAAGAGTCATGATCGAAACGGCTTTGCGGGGAGTGTTCGTTTGCGACTCGTGAAAGATCAAATTCCAGGCACGACTGTCCATGAGAGGCCGCCGGGCGCCGTTTCCGCCGAAGGGATAAGACTCCGCTGTTGGGAAATTGGCGGAAGTGTAGCTTGCCATTAATTTGTGTTGTGCGTGTTGCAAGTATTTTAGCTTTGATGATGTTCCGATTTCCGGATTGGGCCGTGGTGATGAAGTGTGAGTGAGTAAATCATCGAGAATGCGATGACACATAAAGAGGAAGTTAAGTGAATTATTCGACGTATCTCCGGAAGATTCATCACCAGGGCTAGATCAAAGTGGCTATGAACCAACCTTTATGGTCTGACCCTTCGCAAACTGCGCTGTTCTCTCTTTTAGGTTGCGGGAAGCCTTGAACCTTCATCGAGCGTTGCCAACGCCTTACAAAACTCAAATGACTTCTACCTGGAATTAGAGAGAATTTATGGTAGCATAGTTATCAGTAGAACACATGTCCATTTTCTAATGACTAAAGACTTCCAATATCCATAGGCTCGTTGGCAAAATCGTTAGCAGAAGTCGACTCCCTGCTTTCAAGACACACAGTCTTGCCGCTAGAGACCTTTCTGGTCTATTATCAAGCCTATCACGGATACTAAATTCCTTGTATGTCCTGAAGAGAATCCGATATTTTTCAGATCCATCAAGGGGCATGAAGATTAGCTCATGGAATTCCTGTTATTGTTCCATTTTCCGGTGCCATACACACCTCTATTTACCTGAGTAGCCAGGGCTGTGTTTCTCATGCCACCGATTCGGTCCTCAGGTTGTTCAAGATTGAAAGTCCGAAGCCATTAAGCGTGTATTTGTAAGCGCCGAGTGCTTGAAGAGATGAGGTTAAGTCGGTGGAGACCACGCCATCCGGCTTTAGTCTTCCCGATGTCGCTCAGCTCCACATAGGCGCCGGACAATTACCCGCCTCACCGTTTTTGTGTATCAACTTCCCGGCACAACATCTCGGTTGGGAGGTTTTTGTGTCACCGCTAACTTTGATTGGTTGGAAAACTTCACTTGCAGATGTCGAGTTCGTCTTGAGAACAACTTGGCTACAGAAGTCTTGCGCCCTTCCTTGACATTCATTCTATTGGCCTAGTTAAAAGGCCGTCTAAAGGTCGTCTGAAGCGGGTAAAAGAAATTTCTCAACATCATTTCCCAGCGCCATCAGGATGCAACTCGCCGAGCGCCAGGAAGCCGACTCGCTTGAGCGTGCGCAACCTGCGGAAAGTAAGTTTTTGACTTGCCGTTAATACTCTCGTAGCGCGAAGGTACAATATGCTGATCTTAGAACCTTGACAGCTCTGGACGTAGCACAAGAGTCCCACAAGTACCCTGAGGGCGGCAAAGATGCATGGCTTGTTGTGGCTGGTGCATGGTGCGCCATGATACCATCCATGGGTCTTCTCAATACTCTTGCAGTTCTGCAGGCCTGGGTTTCACAGAATGAACTTCATGGGCTCCCGGAGTCGACAATAGGCTGGGTGTTTAGCACTTACGCCTTCTTCCTCTACTTTTGCGGCGCTCAAGTTGGTATGAGACACATCTCAATCAAAGTAATGACTCAAGCTGATAAATCTTCAAGGCCCCATCTTTGACGCTCATGATGTGAGGTTCCTGGTGATACCCGGATGCGTAGGATCTGTGGCGTCTATGATGCTGATGAGTCTCTGCAAAGGTAAGGGTCATCGTTTTCCCTCGTAAATGTTCAAAGTCTCAAACATTGCTAAACCTTCAATCTGTGCCAGAGTTCTACCAGTTTTTGCTCACCTTTGGTGTCCTCGGCGGCGTATCAGCTTCGCTTCTTTTCAACCCGAGCATCGCTGCAGTCGGCCACTGGTTCTCGGAACGCCGTGCTCTAGCTACAGGAATAGCCTGCACGGCTGGAGGCGTCGGCGGCGTTGTCTTTCCTCTCATCATTCTCTACATGGCTCCCAGGGTTGGTTTTCCATGGGCCATCAGGACGGTTGGGTTTATCTGTGCTGCCGCGTCTGTTTTGGCATGCACGCTCTTGAAGAAGAGGCTTCCACCAAGCAAGACATCCAGTGGCGCAATCGACCTCAAGGCGCTGAAAGAGACAAAATTCGGTCTCGCAACATTGGCCGTCTTCCTGATCGAGTTCGCAGTCTTCATCCCGTACACTTACATTTGCTTGTACGCTATCCATGAGGGCATCGATCTCCAGAAGTCTCTCCTCCTAAGTGCACTGCTCAACGCTGGAGCGATCCCAGGCCGTGCCCTACCGGGCTACGTCGCAGACCGATTTGGTCCCTTCAATGTCATGTGCGTCACTGCCTTGGTGTGCTCGGCATTCATCTTCGCGCTCTGGTTGACAGCGCATGGCGGAGAAGCTGCTACGACTGCCTTTGCGGTCATGTTTGGATTCTGGTCCGGAGCTGCCATCAGCTTGACGCCAGTCTGCATTGGACAGGTGTGCAAAATCGAAGACTATGGGAAAAGGAGTGGCACGGCGTTCTTTGTCTGCAGTTTTGGTGCCCTTGTCGGTGTGCCCTTCGCTGGAGCTATTCTGCAATGGTCAGGTGGCACTTATGACGGCCTTATACTCTTTGCGGGTGGTCTATATATCTTGTCGTTCTGCGCTTTTGCAGTTGCTAGAGGCGTAGCTTGTGGTTGGAATCCCAAGACCTTGTTCTAGACTTGAGTGAGACTCAGTCCAATATCTGGGGCCTTATTTCGTCAACGGAGACGAGACTTGTGGTCACTACATGTTAGATATTTTGATCATATTTGCATCAGCGAGATCAAGAGCCTCGTAACAAGCTTCGCTTAGTGATGATAGAGAATGAGAAGGCATGAGTCCGTATGTTCTGGGCTTTTGAACGGGGTTTTCCTCCAAGACAGCGATGAAATATTTCTTGCTTCAGGACTTGCTGTGCCCAAAATAGACTCAGAGAAACAAAGGAGCTGGAGTTTGTGATTTCTAATGCCGTCAAGTATCAGATTCCACGCATGAGTATACGAGCGATATGGCAATGAATTGAGACCACATTGATGTGCGTGAAGATGAGCTGTTTGCCGTCAACTTGAATTCCTTGAAGGCAAGACCAGGTACCATAGGGGAATAGGAGACTGGCAATTTAAATACAAGTGAAGCCTTGGCGCAATATGGAGAGCTGTGGGACTATAAAAGAGGTTTACAACTTGAATCTGATCGTTGTGTTGTTCTTGATCAGACTATTTGTCTCTAGCCTGCTATCCCACCGGCGCAATCTTGCGAGATCAACGCAACATGACTCAAGTCGAAGATTATTATCGTGCAAATGAAGTCTTTCCTAACGAAGAAACCGTAATGAGCCGTCTCGTCAAATATTAGGGGCTGAGTCCTTCGAAAAAGGCTATTGATGGCGACACTAACATGCTCGAGTCGTGACCTTGAAGCGCTGTTTCGGAAAAAGCGACGTCGGCAACCGAACCGAGCTGACCAAGCAAATTCCATTTACACCAAACGCCTATTAAGAACTTTAAGACCATAGCTTACCTTAAAATACACCACCTGACAGCGGCCGCCTCCACATCTTCCGATGAACTGGGCAATGCTCGCCTTACAACTACCTAGGCTAAGGCCCCCACAACTCACCTTAGAGAGATGCGGCAGTTGACATAGTTTGACGCTCATATTACTTGCGCGCGGCTGTGTGGTCTTTCCCTGCCAATACCTGTCGCGCATTTGAAAGCAGGACTCCATTCCAAGGCCCAGGGCCGGCAGGCAGCCTCCGCAAGGGGTTGTCGCAGACTAATCGGCGAGTCTTTTGATCACTCAACCTCAATTATGAAAATTAAAAGGGTTTTGAAAGTCGGATTTCTTAAGTATAAGTTGCGGCTTCTCTACCCTCTGCCCAAAACCTTTCCATTATCCTCACCGCACTCTCTTACCTCACAAACCAGTCGCTTCTCTACAGTCTCTACATTTTACAGCAACATTGCCACTGCATCTCTGTACTTCTGATACCCAAAAACCGTGCTCAATCAACTCGCATCTTTAACAACTCGTCAAAATGCACGCCCGCAACGTTCTCATTCTCGCCCTTGGCGCCGTCGCCTCCGCCCAGAAGTTCGTGGACTTCCCCACCAGCTTGACCTGCAAGACTGGCGCTGGCGGCAAAGAAACTGCCACCATTTCAAAGATCGAAGCCCAGGATGCCGTGAAGGGCCCCAACGGAACCAAACAGGACGACTCTGCCGCCAATGTTGCTTCTGGCAAGTGCGTCAGCCTCTCTGGCATACCCTTCTACGGAGTAAGTAACAGCATGGGATATCTTCCGCATATTTACCTCTGGAACTTTCATGTGCTAATCAGACTCTTCTCACAGGGCGGCGTTTCTGGCAAGGGAAGCATCTACTTCGCTTACGATAAGGCGAAGGATACATACTACTTCTGCTCGGCGCAAGGAGCTGTTGACGAGTCGGGATGGCCCTCTTCTTGCACGGAGAACTGAGCGTGCTAGTTCAAAAATAGAATAACAAGCGAGCATTTGTCATTTCACATCTATTGAGGCCAATTCTGCCTGTATTCTGAGTGTGCAATGATAGTTATTTTGAAGTACCTTATGAGCACATTTTTTACTGATGCAAACTTTGCCTGGAATGCAAAGAACCATGTTGCTTAACGACTCGGAGTGAGTGGTGCAATTTGGGAGAACGAACAATCTTCGTCAATAAAATGCGAGTGAAACTCATAGCCAGACCGGCCAACTTCAATGGCGCTAGGTGGGGTCAATTGACGTCGCCTCGAATCAGCGCCGGCCTCCGATGAGGTCCGAATTTTAAGAGGCCCGAGACGGCGACGATTCGGGAGCGGGCCGTTGGTAATCGAGCTTCTCACTTATCAATCAGGGATTGAATGACTAAGGAGCGAAGCTTACACGATGGAAGTTTCTCTCACATCGCACCGTTCCTGAGGATGAGTACAAAAAGAGGTGTTTCCTCCTTGACTGATTTGTCTTCTGAAGTTCTGTTGCCGATTAGCGACAGACAAGAACCCAACAAACGCCTCTGGCCTGCATCTCAACTTACACCGAAGTTCTACGGCAACTTTTTATTCAAACCTATCAAGACAATTCAGAACAACATGTCACGCGCGATTCTCATCACTGGCGCCACAGGCAAACAAGGCGGTGCCGTTATCAGTGCTCTTCTAGCCAGACAGCCATCGGACTTTCTGCTTCTTGCAGTAACGAGAAACGCGCAGTCGACATCTGCCAAACGACTTGCAGCAAAGTCCTCGAACATCAAACTCGTTGAGGGAGACCTTGATGCAACCCCGGCGTTATTTGCTTCCGCAAAGGCCGTTGCCGGAACCGTTCCTCTATGGGGCGTGTATTCTGTTCAGGCAATGGGCGACCAGAAGTCAGATAGTGAGACAAAGCAAGGCAAGGCATTGGTGGATGAATCCATTAAGGCAGGGGTACGGCACTTTGTCTACAGCAGCGTCGAGCGAGGCGGTGACGAACGGTCTTGGAGCAACCCTACGCCGGTACCACATTTCATCACGAAGCATCAAATTGAACACCACCTCCGCGACAGCGCCGTCAATAGCAAGACCGACATGGGCTGGACGATCCTACGTCCCGTCATCTTCATGGACAACCTCATGCCAGGCTTCTTCGGCAAGGTGTTCTTCACCATGCTCCGCGACACCATGAAGGAGAAGCCTTTGCAGTGGATCGCGACCAAGGACATTGGCTTCTTCGCGGCTGAGGCATTCCATGACCCGGCTACCTGGAACAAGAAGGCGGTCGGTCTGGCTGGTGACGAGCTTACCTTCTCGCAAATGAACCAGACTTTCGAGAAGGCGACTGGCGCACCCGTCGGGACCACGTTTGGATTGCTCGGCAAAGCTTTGAAGCATGGAGTCTCTGAGATTGGTATCATGGTCAACTGGTTCAAGGATGAAGGCTACAAGGCGAATTTGTCACAGGTCAAGAAAGTCCATCCAGACATTCTGACTATGGGAGCTTGGTTGAAGGAGAGTGCCTTTGTAAAGAAGTGAAAATATCCAGGCTAAGGATTCAGGAGGGGATTCTCTTGCATGACTACTGTAGTAAGAGCACTTAGACTAAGGTAGGTAATGATAGGATTAATGTGGAAGCAAGATACTCTTCTTTGAGCGCAGCGGCCAATCAGTAGTTGCACGTGATATGTCATATCGTTAAGTGCTTTGCAGAGAGTTGCGAGGCCCGAATGCAACATTAAAGACCACTCATTGCATCAACGGCTGAAGTTGAACACCCACAGAACCACCTGGTCCAGTGACGTCACCTGCACACATCAGGCAACTCAATCGACTCCAGGACGATCTGCCGGTGAGATGGGCCGATTGCAGCTAATGCGAGCTTGCTAGCCCCTGCCTCAACCTTGCATACAAAAGTCCGACCCGCGCGGGAATACAACTCTGGGGTCTTCAATCATACCTCGCCATCTTTATGGTGTATTCTATAAGTTGGCCGACGGAAAGAATTACTGATCTCAAAGCGCGGGCAGCAACTCCACGCACAATCCTAACAAGTTGCGACATCCAGCGAATTGCTGCCGATCTTAAGATTTTTAAGAGAACTATATGCTTCTCCAATGCTCGGTAACACTGTTTGGGAAAAATGAGGCTGTTTCCCTATAGTTGGTTCTCTGGTTCTTCGAAAGTGCATTGCAACATCGCGCCCGCACCGTACTAGCCGTAGAAGGCATCCTGCATTTTTCAGTACAACCTTATAACTTAACCTTCCAACTCCGGACTTACCGACAAACAACAAAACCGGTTTATAGAAGGAGTTATGCTGATCAACGGGTTGGTTGACAGTTCTTACAAATAAACTTCAGGGGGTTCTCGGGGCACGCTTCTGAATCGAGTCATGTGGTCTGACTTAAATATGGATAGTTGGGCGGTTCATTGCGGGGATAATGTCGCATGTATACAACTCTACAGTAATTATACAGTACTTCGGGAGACTTAAGCCGACTGCCCTCAATAAGACAACTCTATTTCTGAGGACCGATCGTCATCGGCCAGGGGCTCTCGTGCGATTGGCCTGCAATAGTGGCGCATAGTGGTTAACGAGAGCGAAAGCAGAATATCGGACATCGTAAGATCATGGGTGTCTACTGCTAGATGCTACCTTCTAGACTCGATGGGAATGCAACATGGTAAGTAAGATATAAGCCGCCTAGTTCCTCCCTGGCCTTCGATGCATCAGTTTCCTGGTAGTTCATCCCATCTTGACTCTTCAGCCCACCAGCGCAGCGTTGTCAGCTTAACTTCGTTCACACATTCTTTCTCGGTCAACAAATCTCAACAATCGCTACTAAAATGAAGTTCGCTGCTGTCTTCCTCCCTCTCATCCCCGCCGCTCTGGCCGGAGAATGCATTCGCGACGGCGGCTGCCCCGGTTGTGGTCAGGTTGCCAGCGTCAGCTACGTCCAAGACGGAAGCACCTCCACCGCTACGGCTGCCTCCTACGGCTCCGTCACCTTCTCCGACACCACTATTACTGTCAAGAACACGTCCAAGAAATGGCTGTTGTTCTGCAACTACGGCTCGGCATGCTTCCCCGTTGAGGCCGGCGATACTTGCACCTCCACCCGCCAGTCGTCCGACTCCACTGCTCTCGGACTTCAAGTGTGGTCCCAGTAAAAAGGTAAGTTCTGACCAGCTAAACGTTTCTAGCGGTGAAAGCCAACTGACACGGATGCTCAGGGATCTCCAAAACGTGCGTCTGGGATCGGCGTGGCAGCATGGCGCTGAAAGCTTGGACAAACGCGCGGGTGTGACAAACTGACAGGAGTCAGGCGGGGTTGATGGTTCCACGTCCCGCCAGTCGTCCCAATTCTGTGCACGGCGCCTGAGATGGCGAGTACGAATACGTGGATTGTACACTTTGTGCCACCTCCACAGGCAAATAGCTGCCAGTGCACTTGGTCTGCAAATTGACTGAGGGTGTTCAGAAACCAAGAGACATCGAACGGCATTTACATTTTTCACGATGAACCAAGTGATACCTTGTCTCGTGCTCTGTGCATTGTGATATTTATAGACCATGGCCATTCCCGCCGACAGGGTTGATGCTCGTTAAGCTACCCCTTTCCCCTGTCGCGCGATCGGCACCTCTGAGAGGATCTACTTAAGGAGTGACACTATGACCCGGCCTTGTGTTGAAGCTAGACAAGGACACCGAATATGTAGATCAAGTATGTACATGTAAAGGAATTGAAGAACAAAATGTTGCCACACTTAGGTGACGTTGTCAAAGAAATTGGGTTCAGAAAAAATCGTGAGCCGTAGTTGTTGGCGTCTGCCCGTTATCGTCGCATCCTCAAGACTGCTTGCTCTCGATTCATATCTCTCGTTCGTCGTTCTCGTATTCGTCTCATGATAGATCTTCAACGTTGAGAAGAACGCTCTGCTTCAAAGGAACAAAGCCTTCTCTTCCGAGTTGCCTCAGCAGCTCAACCGCCCGCGATTGGGGTTGTGAAACAACAGAAAGCTCGCGGTAGTGATGGAAGTTATCCACGAAGTTCTTCTCCGGGAAGTGCGTGCGCAAAATGTCAAGGACGGTATCAAAGTTGAAGGGCTCAGCCCAAGCAAAAATTCTCTCGCTGCGGACGTTTGGGAGCACTGCAGCAGCCACGTGAAGTCGAGCGTTGTCTTCCACATCGACGAAATACTCTGTAGTCTTTATGAGCTTCTCGGATAAGCAAGAGGTGAACATTTTCCTATGCACTTACGTGGTGGAATGCTTGCTAGACGGTCCACGTGCGTTCCGTTCCATAGACTCTCGATGAAGGACGAGGTTGACGAATGGCCCTGATTGGCCGCATCCAGAGCTCTTCCAAAGTTGGTTCCGGGAAGCACTAACACCCAATCAGCTTCATTGCACAATCCAAGTATCCATAGAACTGCAGGTTGCTTACCACTGCTGACTATCAAGTCATAGCGACGCCGAATATTCTCGTGATAAAACTTCCACACTGCCATCTCAGCTTCTACCTTACTAGCGGCATATATATGCCACGCTCGCTGAGGGTGGTACGGAGCCTCTCTCCATGCTATCTCCACCGACTCAGTATTCCAACTGTCGGAGTTCACCTCGATTCCCTTCTTCCCGGGTCGAGGGAGGGCTGCAGCAACGGAAGAGCTGGTGAAGATGAACCGCTTCACACTCGCCGCTTTGTTGGCGGCCTTCAGAGCATTCAGAGCCACAGTGATGCTGCGAGGAATGACGCTCTCGGGATTTGGGCTAAAAGACACCGGGGAAGCAGTATGGATCACAGCAGAGACGCCTGTAAGGGTGTTAGCCTCTCTGGTGTATAAGTAAGAACTTCAAAATGTTCACCCTCAACCGCAGCGTCAAAAGCGCCCTCCTTCTCCATGTCCGGCAATGAAACCAACATGAAGTCGCCCTTTGGTCTCTGTCTCGTCAGCGCCTCTGGGAGCCAGGCGCATTTCGAAACGTCGCGAACTGTTCCGCGGACGTTGAACCCCAGCTGCAGCAGTTCCTTGCAGACGTGGGAGCCGATGAAGCCGTTCGCACCCGTCACCAGGACTGTTGAGCCCTTTGGAATGGCGAATTTTCGTTCCGGAGTCATATTGAAGAAACTTGAGGCTGAAGATATTGACTGTCCGTTACAAGGATGACGAGTGCAGAACCACCGTGGCTGTTCGCAGAGCCAAGAAGTGCGGCTGTTTGTCGAGATGGCTGCGTTGCTGCGCGCGGTGACCGCCAGGCATCCCGTCAAGAACGAAAACGAAAGCAAGCGGATGATTTTATAAACTCTACTGATTTTCGAAGGCTTTCTGAATGCATCTAAGGCTCAGGAAAATCTACCCCGCCTTTTTATTTAGATAGAGGTTTCGTGTCTGTCACTTGTGACATTGTTCTGGTGGTTTGAAACAGCCTTTTTGCCAGAGACCGTTGTCGTTGAACGCCAAGTGGGACTCCTGGAAAAGGCCCAAGATGACAAAATGGGACCCAGAGCCGATGCACCCCCACGACATATCGCGAGAAAAGAGCTACTTGCACCGATAAAATAATGCGACACCAATTGGTTCTTTGCGGATGAGTCGGCATCAGAGGAATTTTTCCATTCCTCTAAAAAACCTCGTCCGAACATTGAGGATTCGTATGGCTGACAATTGGTTCCAAGGGGTTGTAGTTACGCAAGACTTGACATGGGACTCAAACAGTACCAGAAACATGAATTTTCCGACTGTCTACCAGAAACGATACATGCTGCAAAGTGCGGTCTTATTCAGTTGCTGAATCCAAATTTGAGGCCTTTTCTTCTTACGTGTATTTTCTTTCGCACCAAAAGTTAGTTTGGCAACTTGATATGCCATGTTGCGGCGATCCCCGCCCCCACTTCATGACAATTATGTGCAACTTATTCTGAAATGGCCATGTGTTGCAAGGATCTCCTTTTACTCAAGCTATGGATGTTCAAACAGGTTGCCATTGTGTGGCGCTAGTCAAAAGCGAGAATTTGTCATTTCTTACTCGACCTCCTCCAATTGGCCATTCATACCATCTTTTCCGAAGATGTCAATCGTACGAGTGCACTGTTGAATTACCTGGAAGAGGATAAACAAAAGGCTGCTTACTAGTAGCTTCCAAACTCATTCAAGAGTGCCTTGATGGCTCTAAGGGGTAAAAATAAGGAGCATTTTCTCAAGCTGAATATTCGCAAGAGGCCGTTGCAGGTAGACCAGTAGATTCATCTCCAACAAAAGTAAGTGACAAGTCTCTACTGTATACAATAGCGGGTCCCCTTTGGATTAGAGCGTTCATTAGATTATCTATGGTCTTGACTCTACCGGCCTGAAAATCTCTTGATGCCAGCTGCCTTGATTCGTCTCCACGATTTCTAGACTCAGCCTGTACATACCTAAGTTTGCCACGCTACCTATTAATACTTCGCAAATTATAGACCCACGTGAAGGGAACCCTGTAATGATACTCTACGGAAGAACATCAATTGCTCGCTCGCCATGACACTTACACCATCTTGACGACCCTGTCTGCCCTTAATTGGGGATGTAATGGCTGATGTTCTACGACACAATATTTTACGTCAGTCAAAGGCCAATATGAGCGTCTTTGCACTTGTGCATCATGTAGCAGACCTGGATGAAGCCAGAAATAAGATCATAGGCGCCAAGACATCTAGAAAAAGGGTAAACACTCACACAATGATGGGATGTAATCGTTCCACATGTTGGTCATGGTCTAAATACAACGTCCCCAAACGCTACGATGCTACGACCTCATGATGAGGACGGCATTCGCCGAGAGTAGAACTATCAAGTCCAGGCCGCTGTCCGCGAAACTTCGGTCCCGGACGGGGCTCCTCCTCGCTCTCGTATCCCGGCACAATTGGTCAAATACAGCGGGAAATATGGGGCTCTTAGCGGCTCGCACTTGATCGGAGACCGGCCGTACGCAAACGTCGAATGACATTCCACCTTCAAATAGGCAGTCCCCCTTACGTAGGGGAACCTAATCTTGTGCATTACTCATGTGGTAGAGTAATTATGTAAGCCGTCTAACCCTTTGTTGGACTCTTGCAAATCTGCCATGATGAACATAATGGCGATGGTTTACCGGTTGAGAGCCGCCGCTCTTCTTTGGCGCTGTATCTTTTAACACCCCAAGGGAAAATATGCAATCGCAGGAGGGGAATGATGCTCCCGCCAACCAATTTTCATGCACACAATGCCGAACACGGAAACTCAGGTGCGATCGCGCCCGCCCGCGCTGTGGACGGTGTGCTAGGCTTGGGGACAGCTGCGACTATCCACGGTCGAGAAGAGCGAATGTCGGCAGGAGAAAACGCGTGCATGAGCTAGAGGCTAAATTAGGTACGTCAGTTCTGGTTTCACCGCCTGCGATGATACGGGACTCATTACAATGTGTTCTTGGGAACCAGTTAGTCTTACACTCTTAATCTTATAGAGCAACTTGAGCGGCTGGCAAAGACCGGAGACAACCCTTCTGCCTCTGAAAATGACGAAAGTCCGCCTCAGCAAATCGCCGGCGAGAGTGCTGATTGCTTGACGGGTGGTTTGCCGTATGCGACGACATCTACCAGCGGTACTCCAGATCAAACTCAACCCCCACTAAACGACAAGACGTCTTTCACAGATTTACTCTCCCTCGGACTTTTTGAGCAACCACCATCTCAAGACGTCATTGAGTTTCTGTGAGAACTGTCACTACTGCCTATTGGTTTGAGATTATTGAAGTTATTACGTTTCTAACTCTACCGGCAGAACGAGGACCTACTTTGAAAAATGGCAATACGCTGCGCCAATGTTGCACCCGACTCGGTATACCATGTCATTGTACTTGCCGCCTCATATGCAGCCTCCAATGTGCCTACAATACATCGTCATGGCCTCTGGCGCAGAAGTGGCCAAGACTCACCGGCAGCTAGCCATGCCGTTCTACCATCGCGCAAAGGCATATGTAGAAGCCGATGAAATGAGAGTGAGTTGTGCGGCCCTTTTCACTGAGAAATCAGCCAACTTTGGCTTGACCATGTTGCTGACATACTAACTCAAAAAAAGGGTGATGGGCAGTTCTTCGCTACTGTAGCACATGCTCAGTGCTGGACACTGATCGCCAACTTTGAAGCCCAGCAACTCTACTTTGCGCAAGCTTCAATGAGTCTTTGCAGAGCCATCAGGATCGGTCAGATGCTCGGCCTTCACCGGGTTGACGGGGAACGTGTCGATGCGATGTCTCTACTTCCGCCTCCACAGGACTGGTCCGAGGCAGAGGAGAGACGGAGGACGTGGTGGGTAATTTACTGCTCGGATCGGTTGGTTGGCGGTAGCACAGGCTGGCCAGTCATGATCAACCAGCAAGATGTAAGCAAACAGCATTTAACGCCGAACCCTACCTACCTAGTTGGAGAAGACATGATATCTAAGGTCTGACCGTTCGTGCTCACATAACTTTTTGCAGATTACTACACATCTCCCTGCGTCAGAAACGGCATTTGAAACAGGCGTCGAAGAGCAGACGAGTCCACTGACGAGCATTCTCCTACAAGAAGGTCGCGACTTCTCCGCCTTTGCAGGACGGGTCCTGGCCGCGGCATCCTTCTTCCAAGCCTTCCAGCACTCGACACGGACATTACCAGACGATGACCTTACCGACCTACGTACAAGTCGGAACTGGAAACGCCACCGTGAGATTGACAACGACCTAGTGGGTCTCCTTGCTGCCCTCCCGGATGACCTGACGCTCCCCCAAAATATCCAAAGCCGCAACGCCACCTTTGTCAACGCCATCATCCACACGTCGGTCATTTTGCTACACAGAGCAGCTCTCGCCAGGATAGGGTCATCCGGGCTGCCGGAGCACATGGCGAAACAGAGCCAGGCACGGTTGATCTGCGCCGCCGAGGAGATTCTTAATATCATCCGAATGATGCCCGATATCACGCACACACTCAAGAATCCTATAATGAACTTCTCCATATACACTGCCTCTCTCGTGTTCCTCGAAAACTGGGATACGTCAGCCCAGGATTATCGGCGGCAGGATAACCTCGATTTTATCCTTCGCATCATCATATTGGCTGCCAAGGTATGGAATAACCCCGTCACAAAGTCCACAGCGGTTCAGCTCGCGGTAGATATGCGAAAGCGAGGTCTCGAATCCGAGGCAGTTGACAAGGTGAGCACTCGCAAAGTCCTTTCACCCCCATCTGGAAACCCGTTATCAGACTGTACTGATTCAGATTATGTAGGCAACCGAATTTTCATCAGGCCTTGATATGGAACCTATCATGGCAAAGGGGTCATCTTCATCCTCCAACTTCGTGTACCAGGGCAAGATTACGGACGATGCAGCACACAACATGCCTGATTAGTAGCTGAGCCGCAATTGCTCTGCTCTTGAAGCTTAGCCTGTGGAATACCATTGCTATCTTGGATGCGTTTCACTATCGAAAAAAGCCGAATGCCTGTAAGCTGAGTTGCTTCAGGTGTTCCAAGGCTGCGCCGTCAAATCGTATTTCGAGGGTTGGCGATACATCAGGTAGTAATACAAGACTTTGAATGCTGATTTGCGCCTTGAGGTGCGGCCGAATCACTTGTAAGTCGTTAATGCCAGATTGTGTTTCCACCGTTTCTCGCAGTACGTATCGTGCTTGGCACTTCGCATAACGGTGTCCCAAGAAGGCCAGCGGTCCATTTACACCACTTCCCTTCAAAAACCCTTGAAAGACGCTTGCCCAGTCGACTCGACCACCGTTGGCGATTGAAGAATATCCGCTCCGTAAAACCCGATGACAGGAGGTAAGTGGAGGCTAGAAGGACAGGGCACGCAGCAGCATTGCGTCTTCTCTCCAGAATAACGCGCCGCGAGGTCTCCAGCTGCCCTCAATCATGGCCAAGCAGAGATGCGGGCTGCTGGCTCGGCCGCCCTATACATGCTCAAGGCCGGTACTTATCACCGGAGTAATTATGGACGAGAGCTGCCGGTGCCCGCCGAGACGACCCCCGCTCCTCAAAATCATCGATGAGATCGCCTAGGTCGCCGCACTCCTAAACAAAATCGAAACAGAACAGCATTCAGAGCCTCAAGCCACCAGTCAATATTACGCAACGCACCGCTGCCGACTCAAACTGGATGGAGTCCATCGCCCCCAAAGGCGTTGTCCCCTACGGCGATGATCTCTCTTACGCAGTATTCTGCGTTGCAATTTATTACGGCGCCATCAACAACGGTGAAACTCACAATACAATACCCCCCCCCCCCCCCCCCCCCCCCCCCCGCCCCCACCCCCGCGGCCGCGGGGCGGGCGGGGGAAACGCGACACAACCACACCCAACACCACACCACCCCCCCCCCCCCACACCCCCCCCCCCCCCCCCCATCAAGCGGGCCATTAACGACGGGCGGCGTTGCGGCGAAAAATGCAACGGCTCGACGATTAAGAACGCCATCATCTACTTCCCTCTCACGCAGCACAATGCCTCTTCCCTTAGAGGCGTAGATCATCGGCGATACCACCAGTCGCTCAGAACCGATCACTTTGAAGTCCCTCAGCCGTCTCAGGGTACTTCAACGGACGAGTACACCAGCAGCGGGACTGCTCTAGACGGGCACGGTTAGCAGTAGTGTGTCAACACGGCCAATCTACACCGCCAGACCTGCAACGTCATCATCGACGTCCGCCCAGCGCCGCCCTCAGAGGATGTGGCATGCCTCAACTACCAGATAACCCAGGCCACCAGGTCAGAAAGGACTGGGGTTGGGTGTGGAAGTCGATAAGCATGACCGATGTGAACAAAGGCCTCAAGTTTGTGCTTGACTATCCCGACGGCAGCACTGGGTCGTCGCTGGTTATGGACTCGCCCTTCACAAACGTCGGTGCCGTCGTCGTTATTCAGCTGCCGTCATCTGAACTCAGCTCTGGAAGCACCGGCCGCGGCATTGAGAACACGGCCATGTCGGGTGTCACCACCGCCGTCGCCGACACGAACGACCGCTCCCTGCTGGCCGCGTTAACCAGGCTTGGCGAGTGGGTGCTGGCCCCCATATATTCGACCTCAGTCGATGCTAGTACGCGCTCCTAACCATCTGCGCCGTGCTCATTGACTTGGATATGGCTACTGATGCAAAGGGACCAGCGGCTCTCTGGGACTACCACGTCCGGGTCGGCGGTGCGACGGGTCCCGACTTGACGCCTACTGAGAGTGCCCGGGTTAGACCACTGAAATCGCCCCGAGCTGTAATACTGCTACCTCTGATGGTGCACATTGCGCCGGGCGCATCGTGATACTTCGAGAACATGTGGCTGTGGCTGGCTGCCCATAAAATTGATGGCCCAGATCTGGAAGATGCCAACAACACCATGGTACAGAACTCGATCTACGTTGCTTACGGCCTGCTTGTAGAGAGCACCGGGGCAACATGGCTCTACGGCACGGCATCAGAGTACGTGGTCATGTACCAATACAACTTTCACAATGCCGCGAGCGTCTTCGCCGCCATGATTCAAGCAGAGTGACCATACTACAAGCCGACCCCAAACCCGCCTGCCCCTTCCGCTAGCTCCGTCGGCCTCTTTCCGGCCTACTCCTGTGCCGCTCGCAACGAGTTAAGTGGTTGTGATGCATCGTGGGCCGTTGTGATGCACGGCTGCGAGGACCGCATCATTGCTGGCGCTGGCCTGTACTCGTGGTTCTCGGCCTACGCCCAAGATTGTATCGGTGGACAGCTGTGCCAGAAGGCACACGAAGGGGCGGCTACTACCGTCAATTACCCACTCATGACCGCCAGCCAGGACGCGTGGATGAGTACAATTACGGTGCGGCCCATGACGCTATCCAAGTTGGGCTTCGAGGTAATGACAATCGGGGGTTCCAACGTGAAGAGGGACAGTGGCAGCCTGAACCGCCGAGCCTTTGAGGACTTCTGGCCCGTTCCCGCTACGACTGCCGCTTGGCCCGTCGTTATTGACAACGGCTCTGATGGTGAAGAGTCAACGGCGAGCCCTAAAGCGCCTTATCCGACGCAGCCTCCATCCATCAAGTCCGGCTCGCCACCGCCGCAAAACGGCGCCTGGCCAGCAAAAGCCCTCCGGCCGCGCATGGCCGCCGCCGTAGACCCCAACAAGGAGCTGAACGATCGCCTCAAGGACTGGATGTGTCGGCAGGCTGCCGAGTCACCCAGTCACTACGACATGGACATGCTCGAATGGCCCAGGAAGGGGTGGAAACAACAACGACTCGGAACAGATGCCGATGGGTGACGGCACTGGCTGGGAGGTCCCCAAGATTTCAAAGAACGGCACCATGAGCCTGCCTGAGCTTTCCCCCCCTGGGGCTCAATGTTGAGTGAGCTTGGGCGCATGTGCGAACAGCCGCTTGAATCGAAGACCACCACCACCACCACCACCACCAGGGCGCAGACGACTCAGCCTTCCCAGCCGAAAGCAAAGCCGCTCAAGCAGGCCGACGCCAAGCACAACAACGTGAAATGCTACGGCGAGGGGCGCAAGATGAGCAACATCCGGCTACAGAACGGCATCAATTCCTTCTGCAAGAACATTGGCTCCGACGTTGGCGTCCAGGCCCGCGACCTAGATGGCAGGGCCGCCGCCGGGCAGCAGCAGCTCCTGAGCGGCTCCAAGAAGGAGTACATCAAGCCCTTTTCTGTACAGGAGGAGATTAGCTTCAGCTTCGAGGTGCTCTGCGGCTGCTCGTGGACGTTCAGCATGGACGAGTGTACGCGATACTTCAAGACGCCTGTCGATAGCTGTAACTGTGGCGGGGAGAACGGTAAGCAGGGCGGGTATGGGAGTAACAACTGCCTGAGGTGGAAGACGGATCCGAATAGCTCGGCGTACTAGTGGTTCTCGAGAAGGACAGCCTTTTTGCCTAAGTGTTCTTTTGTAAATTCTTGTATACCTATTTATTTTAGATTCTCTTGGGACATATCAGTTGCTCAACATTTAATGTACTAGACATTTACTATGTAAGGAATAAAAAGGCTTCACGATGTCAACTTACGGGGTGTAAAGTGACATGGGCTACCCAATGGCACCAAACCCACGAGGACCCAAGAGACTGAGACTAGATACTTGAGGAACAGGTATGCCTCAGCGAGTAGCCTCGAAAACCATCTCCATCTCTCTCTCTCTCTCTCCCCCCCCTAACACGACACTCGATGAGGAAAACACAACCAGCAGCACACGCTAAAGTCTTCCTCGTCGTGATGGCTTCGACAGAGTGCCTCAGGCGCGCAAACATGACAAACAACTCACGAGCATAACATCCTCAATAGCGACATCGAATAATTGGCAACCTCATTCATGTCTTGCGTTACTTAATACACAGAGCCGCATGGCATGCACTGCAACTCAGCTCACACATACACGCCGGGTGGCTAATTACCATAGCCGAGCTGGGGCCCCTTTTCTACCGCACCAGCAGGCACCCTTCGAGAACATGACCAGCGTAAGAGAAACTTGTCTATCGCATCCGGAATCATTGCTAATAGGCCCCCCCTTCTTCCGCCCCCTAGCGCCGTCCCCCCGTCCATTAATGAATCAGTAAAATCAAATTGCCCGCAATGTCTCTAAACCACTGGTTGGATTTGTAGTTGCGGGTCGGCACGTCGGCACACCGGGTAGGAAGGTTTGGATAACACAACAAGTAGACATAGCGTTGTTACATGCCATCAAAGTCGCCGCCAAGATCGTCCTCGTCCAGATCTCCCTCCTGTATCTCCTTGGCCATCTCACGCTCACGTTCGCGCGCCTCCTGGGCATTCTTCAACTCCAAGCGGTGCTGGTTCATGGGGAATCGCATGGCCTTAAAACACGGTATTGTTAGAGTGTATTTTCAGATGGAAATGTGCTGGAAAACTCACCTTGACGCTCTCATCGTGGAGAGCCAAGCATGCGCGAATTCTGTCGTGGAAGGCTTCACCAGGCTCCCGCGTAGCGTAGACGTCGCCGACTTCCTTGCTCTTCATGTATCCATGCTCGCGGTCTAGGGTAGCTTCGATAACACCATCGCGGATGGCCTTGGCGACAATGTACTCGGCCGACTCTTCGCTACCAAGGTCGAGGCGGATGCAGATATCGCGCAGGGAAATGCGAGAATACGACAAAGACATCATACGGATGCCGGTCTTGATGACGTTCTGGCGCAGGCGGAGGATCAAGCTGTATGTGCCGTCGCGGCGGAAGGTGTCGGCGTGATCCGCAATGATAGTCTCGAAGTTCTGGACCTTGCCAACCCGGACGGCCTGAACAAGGAGGAAATAAGGGTGCAGAGAGAGCTCCAAAGTGGGCTGGCGGAAAGTAGATCTCTCGGGAATATCACCCATCAACAATTCAACCACCAACAGAAGCTTGGTCGCCGTCTGTGAGAAGCCGACCGCGCAGGCGCTTGAGGGAGCCTTTCTTGTCGCAGCTGTGAGGTGCTCGTGTGCCTCAGTGTATCTCAGCTGAATAGCGCGGATGCGTCCAAGGTAGTACAGGAAGCGTGCGACCTGGTTGTTGGCCGCGTTCTCGGGGAACTGGGTATGGGATACGAGCAGGTCGGCCTGCGCAATGTGAGACGTCAACAAATAGCTGCGAAGCAAAAGCACAATGACCGAGGCTTGCGTGTCGATATCCTTGCGGAGAACGGCGGTCCGCAGAGCAGCCAGAAGAGTGGGTCGAATAGCGACGACCGGAGACTGAGGAGAAGGAGGCTGAGGAGCGAGGCTTTCGCAGAACATTGAGTAGTAGAAGTAGACCTTGGCGGAAAGGGAGTCTAGTGTACGGCGGTTAAGCGTGTGGATACGGTCAGTGAGCTGCTTAGAGAACTCGGCTCCGTGTTGGAACTGCTTGGTGTCGTAGAGGTGGACCTGGATCAGGATGCCGAGGAAGATGTCAATCTCGGGGATGATCTCCTTCACCTCCTTCTTCAGGCCGTTCTTCGTCTTCGCAGGCTCGCTGTCTACCTCCATCTCCGGTCCGCTGGAGCGGCCGAGGGGTACGTTCTCGCGACCGATGGCAATCAGAAGCTGCTTGGCAACATTTCCGGAGGCAACGGTTGCGGGGAAGCTCTCGGCAATGGCCTGGGCGATGATATCGGGTGTCAGGCGCTTGCGGATGGTGGAAATCGACCGCAGGGCTCGGAGGGAGAATCTGGCATCGAAGAGCGCGACTGCGCGGTCCAGCAGAGCGAAATTGCTCTTGATATCTGTAGAATTGACATCTGTCAGCTTTCTGGTTTGTTTGCGGACAGATCAAGAGCTTCAGAACTGATAAAGCATGACGTACCTGCTACAGCCTGCACCACGGGGTCAACCTTGACCTCTGCTTCATCTGCTCCAGCCTCGTCACCCATCGCAACGTCTCCGTCAGCATCCGCCGGGGGAGCAGCCGCCTTCTTGGACGGAGGGACAACAACAGTCATCTCTTCGTCGCCGTCCTTTGCTCCCTTCTTGCCCTTGCTCTTTGAGTCGGCATCCTTGTTGTTCTTACGAACCCCGTTCTCGAGGGGATCCTTCCCGCTGCGTGAAGGTGTTTTGCCCGGCATCTTTGCTCAACCGGGTGTGCGTGGATATGCTGTGGGCAGTGTGTTGAGTGCTGCTTGGGATGGCAGCAGTCGGATATGATCGTGGAGTCGCGCCCGGGGAGGAGAGTGTGGGCGGGTTGTTTTGCTTAGATATGGCGTCCCGTCGGATGCTTCGTCTGAAAGCAAGGTGTTGAGGGAGAGAAAGTCAGGTGACACAGGTTGAAAAAGCGTCAGGACGAGCGGGAGTCGATCTCGGAGCTCTGTGAGAGTCGGCTGTCGTTGATGGGATTGCGTGGTTGCTGTTTGGCTGTTTGGCTCGTGATGCAGGAAGGTCCGATGGATGGAAGCTCAAAGATTGAATACCTGAGGCTTAGGTTGCTGCTTCCAGGCCGGGGGGGAACGACACAGACCGGGCAAGCACCTCACCCACCACACTAGCCGGTGCTCGGTAGCGGGTACAAGATTGTGGACCCAACGCGAGGCAGAAACACCCATCTTTGCGGGGGCTCAGCTACCGTAGTTTGTACACTCTACCTGATATCACTTAGCGAGTGAGATTGCCGGGCCTGCTGAAAGCGTGGAGCAACCCCCCCAACACCGAACGAGGCAAAGGCCACCAGGTCCAAAGCGGGAGTGACGTTGTCGATGCTGCCTGCCTCAGCTGCGTCGTCGTGGTGCCTTTTTTTAATTGTGCCACACTTATGCACGCCCCAGCTACCTGAATTATGTAATTATTCAGGGTCCGTCGCCGAAGCTCCCAATCCCGCCATCGAAGCTGTAGGCATAGGTAGTACCTGATCAATATGGCATATCACCTGAATTGGCATTGCACGCAACCTCCTGATTTGTTGCCGTCAAACACCATTCTGCCTCTGAATCTATATCACGCGCTAGGTTCGTCAGAATGTCAACGCCACCTTCATATTTGAGTCGTTTGCTCAGCTGAATGCAGACTGTTGCTTCTAGGTGCCTACTCTTGCTGTTGTCTTATCGGAACGGAGGCGCCTTTGCACCACCTGGCTCCAGCTGCGCTACCTTCATCGTGAGGACCTTGCTGGCCTACCTCCTTGTGGCATAATTAATGACACCACAACACTGAGACGGACCTAGATGAACACTGTGAATGGACTCGAGTAACAATTTGGGTATACCATAACTATGAAAGCCATGATGGATGACCACCGCAGCACCAGATATTGCTAGTCAACTAGCAATTGCTGTCCGTCCCAAACGCCTTTTCCCATGTCTCCCAAACCATACCGTTATGCCCATGAAAACCAATCCATTTGCCATTGTCAAATCATCCTTACTCCTGAAGAGGAGCCTACTTCTTTGCTGGGAGAAAGTTGACCTCCATACGTGTCGCCATGGACAAGTCCGCCTGCTGGGTATTGCTATCAACCGAGAAGTGCCTGAGGGGAGGACCAGTAGTCTGAGTCGGAGCAGATCTCGAGGTTGAAGCCTTCTTGGCCAGTGATGTAGATTTACGAGACCTCGCCTTGGACGAGGCGGCCTTGACCGGCGATGTCGCACGTGCTCCGATGTCATCTTGATTGAACCGGACGCTCTTTGTCGTGCTTCTCCTAGCAGTGCTTCGGTTTCTAGCAGCAGCATGCCGCGGTTTCTCGGTGGGTTCGTACTACTCGCCCTTACCCGAGGTCACCTTGGCTGCTTGGATGGCGCTCATCTTAGTGATCCAGGCAGTCGAGGGCTGGATCTTGCGCACGGTGCGAAGCTCGTCAGAGGAGTAGCCAGGGACGCGGATATTGTAAGTGCGTTCAAGGACAAGCTGGATGTCGCGAATCTCAAGGACCTTTGAGCCTCGCTCTTTGGCGTTGCGGCAAGCCGTCTCCAGGACGTTATCGACAAAGCTGTCTGCCATGGCCAAGACACTCTGCAATGGAGTTAGCAAAAGTTTGTCATCATCGGGTCGTCAGTGATAAGTCACGTACCTCTTCGACCTCGGGAGTCAACATGTTGATCTCCTGGCCCTCGGCATTCCCGCCGCAAACTTGTCGCACGAGCTCGTCCAATTTCTTCTTGCTGAGTACGTGATCGCCCTCAGCCTCATGGACGTATGCAGGGATCTTAGAAATCGCGGGCTGGCCCATGACACCTCCAGCAATGCCGCCACCTCCCGTGTAAGTAGGCCTGCCAGCGCCAGCACCGCCCGCCATCGCAACGGGTTGAGGCACGGAAGTAGCCTTTTCTGGAAGTTGCTTAGGGATCGGAAGTTTAGACTGCAACGTCTGAGTTGGCTGTGTCGGATGCGCGTGTTGTTGTTGCGGAACTGCTCCAGATCCCATGACACCCTGAGCGTGTGCGCCGGCCGAGCCAGGAGTACCGGTGGCCTGCTGAATGGGAGCCGATGTCTGGACGTTGCGCTGGTTCGCGCGGGAGACGGCGGCTGAGTGGCTGAGAGCTTGACCAGGACCGGCAGGAGCAGCAGACTGGGGAGTCGCCACGCGCTGGGTGGGTGTGCCTGCCGCAGGGAGTCCACCGCCTGCGGAAACCGACGCGATGGCAGTATTGACTGGCGGGGGGTGATGTTGACCCTGATTCATAGTTTGCTGCGGCGCAGAAGCCATGGGTTGTTGAGCTTGAGGGGCTTGGGATGTGGTTGGTGTCGCGGCAGAGGAAGCCGCAGCTTGAGCGGCAGCCTGAGCCTGCTGTTGCTGGAGTTGTTGCTGTCGGAGCTGCTGCTGTTGTTGCTGCAACTGCTGTTGTTGCTGTAGCTGTTGCTGTTGCACTTGTTGTTGAGGCAGCTGCTGTTGCTGCTGAGTGGGGGTGCCTTGACCTGCGGCGGCTGTGCCGGTCATTTGCTGGTTCTTCGCTGCCTCGATCGCGGCATTCACTGCCGTGGTAGGGTTCTGCGCGTTTTGCGTGGCCGGAGTGCCTTGGGCGGTCGGTGCCGGGCTTGCTTGAGCACCACCAGGCTGTGTCGAGGGCGGTTGCGACGCTGCGACGGCTGGGCTGTTTTGCTGTTGCTGAGAAGGCGGTCGTTGTTGTGCAGCCGCGCTCGCACTTGCCGCAGTCTGTCCCGCCGCGGCAGCAGCTGCCACCGCCGCTCTCGCCTTATTGATGCCCTCCTGGGACTTCCTGAAATTTTGGACGAAGGTCTGGGCCTCAGTGTGCATCTTTTGCGCATGATCCCTTCTAATTTGCAATTGCTTTGCTTCATCTGCACCCAATGCGCCCTTCTCCTGTTGATTCTTGACGTGTGCATCGATCCGCCTTATCTGGATTCCCTGCTGATCCATCTGCATCAAGGCCCTCAAATATTTCGCTTTGAAGTCATTGGACCACCGAGCAGCCGCCTCCTGGCCTTTATCTAGGATGCCCTGAGGCGGGTTGAAGGTCATCTGTCGAATATGGGCTAGGATGTGATCTGGAAACTGTGTCGCCTGCGGCGCCTGCTGCGGCGCAGTGGGAGTCGGTGCTGCCGCCGCTGGAGCGGGCGCGGGCGTGGGAGCATGCGCAGGCTCTGCCGTCGTCGTCGCCGTGTTCTCGGTCTTCGGTTCGGTCTTTATAGTGACGCCTCCGACGTTCGCTTGGCTGGCGGCGGTCGCCGGTGCTTGTTGCTGAGCCGGCTGGGCTTGTTGCGCGGGGGCAGCTGACTGCGCTGGCTGACTCTGTTGCTGTTGAGCCTGTTGACCACCCTGTTGCTGCTGTTGAGCGGCTTGCTGCTGAGCCTGTTGCTGTTGCTGAACCTGCATGCGGCGTTGCTGGAGCTTGTTAAGCAGCATCTTGGTAAAGTCCTGGATTTTCTTCTTGGCGTCTTGATGTTGAGCGGACTCCTCAGGATGCGTTTCATAATGATTCCACAACTGGCGCAAACCCCTCTCATACTTCTGCTTCTCTTCGTCGTTCAGAATGGGAAGGTTTCGCATCATCTCGGGTCGATACATGGGTGGCTGTCGCGCACTAGGCACAGTTTGACCGGCGGCGGCCTGGCCAGGCTGGCCTTGATTGTTCATCGTCGCGGTTCTTACGGTTATCGGATTCAGCGGTAAGATGGAGACAACTTTGACAGTATTCGAGAGCTTAGTATTCGATCGGAGAAAAAGTTTGAATGATACAACTAATGTTCTACACCCTGTTGGTGACGGAAGATGTGTAGACCAGCGTTAATGTTTCTGACGGATGGTTAAGAAGTGTAGTTGCGTCGAAGCACGCGTAGCTGGAAAGTTCCGTGTGGGGCTCAGAGGAGAGCAATGATTGGATGTTGCATCGACGCGCTCTGGCTTTGGAGCTCAAGGCTCAAACAGGTGGCAGGCGCCTCCTTCCACCAACACCAGCTGCCTTACCTCGTGACAAACCTGGTCGGCCTTGGGAGCTTCCCACAGGGTTGCAAGGTATAAAATGACTGGATATTGCAAACATTATCAAGGTCTCGAGGGAAATCTTTTTTTTTTTTCCGACGAATCTTACTGTCCGTGTGATGGCTGAATTCCTTGAAGCAGATGATTAGAACACAAAAAGAGTCACTTGTAGGTGCGCGGCTAAGGCAAGTACCTTGCTATGCAAGTGCCTATCAACAGAAGTAATATCTCGCTTTGAAGATCTCTTGAAGAGCTCCCGGCCTGCCTCATAAAGTCACTCATATATAGCAAAAGTCTACGTACATTAAGCAGGTCGATGGGGGCAACTTGTTTGTTGGCGGGAGAGTGCCCTTTACGAATCTCAAAATGTAAGCATCACCACCAGGTCTCATTCTTGTCCGATGAACGCAAATTGCAGGTATCCCTCTGCTCCGCTGGGACCCAAAAGACACCAATTTGATTGCAGAATCGCAGAGCCTCAATTAGCAAGGCAAAGGTTCCTTGTTCTTCCACAAAAAGCAGGCTTCTCGAACAAGACATGGGGCCCTCACACGGACACCACCAGCCCACCATCGACGGCCACACGTGGAGTTGCTCTCAGGTCGGTCTTCCTGCGGGAAAGGCCCGTCGGACCTGCAGATGAACGGGGGCCTTTGGGTCGTTGGGTTGCCCACTCTGGCGCGAACTCCCAAATGCACA